AAAAGGGCACCGCGAGAGAATCTGCAGCGCCAGGCTTGATGGCTCAGAGATAACAGGATGGGACACGACCAGGCTCTGTCCTTTCATGGAACCGCAGCTTTGAGGGTCCATTAGACTGGCGACAGAGGAGACTCTACCACAGACCACCCCCCCCCCAGCATTGTGCTTTCTCAAGAATCAAGCAGTGTACAGCCCCCATGCAAAAGGTCTCCTAAGCCCTCCCAACCCGGGCCGGCTGTGGGGACCAGCTGTGGGGACCAGCTGTGAGGCGGGCCAGTGCTATGCGAGGTCCACACAGAACCATGGGGATGTCTTGCTTGGAAGCTCTGAAGCTGGAAGGAACCCACTGTAGAGGTCATTTGCATGCATCCCCCACCTCCACGTGTGAACGGGGAGACGGCAGGAAGCGACCAGTGACCTGTCCTGTCCTACATTCCAGTCCTGCTTCCACATGACAAATACTCCAGCTGGGACACACACAGACCCATCCTGGGAGGCTTTATGGACGATGACAAGTCATAACTGCTTCTGCATCACAGCTATGGGTGCTCAGCAAACAAACAGGTCGATAACACAGTCAATCACCAAACACACACACAGTCTGAGAGGCACGCTGATCGCAAAATGCATAGAGGGGCGTTTGCAGCTGCACCCGCCTTCCAGCTGCGTGAGGCCCCAGACGCCTGGCCCCTAGAGCTCTGTGCTCTCCCAGGCTCGAAGGAAATGCCCTGGTCGTCATCTCTGGCCTGCACCACTCAGCCTCCAAACCAGCTCCGGAGGCTCCAAGCTCACCTGCTCCCCGCCCCAGGGGAAGCCAGCCAGTGGGATGTGCAAAAACTCAAAATCTATGTGTACACCTCACACTCTTGCCTCAAATCCTTAAAAGGCTCCTCTTTGCCTAGAAAACAGCTCAAATGTTTTAACCTGTCATGCAAAACTCCTCAAGATCTGGGCCCTGCCTCCTTCTCTACCTTCGTCTTGCCAATTCCCTCTCTCCTTCTGGAACTTTGCCTCCCAGCAACAGGTGGCTGCTGGCGTTTCCTGGCACACAGCACAGAGTTTCTGGCCTTTGTGACTTTACACTTGTTTTTTCTCCTCCATCATCCCTCCTTCTCCCACTGAATCCTCCTCTGAATGACTCACATAGGCAGGTCCTCATCCCTGAACTCAACTCGGGGGCCACCTGCTCCAGGAAGCTGCCCCCACCTCCCACCCACTGGCCGGTCAGGCTTTCTGTGGTCTCAGAGCCTCCATGCCCTTCTCACCTATCACGCTTCCCACGCCATATTCTGGCCATGTTTCCACGGGACTGTAGGCTGTCTGAGAACAGAGACTGCCCGCACACACAGCGGACATTCTATAATAATGAGTGAATGTTAGCGGCTTTGGAGGCACTTTTCCAAAGAGGACGGGGGTGGCTCTGGGCTGAGCCCCAGGCCGCTGTGCTCCTGACCCTCACCACGCGGTGTCATTCCCAGAGTTCAGGGGGCGAGAGGGGGGAACAGGCTGAATATGGGCTGAGATAAAGGCATCCCTGGCTTTGGTCGCTTTCCCCTGAGGCCACAAGATCAGATCCTGCCTGCCCTCCCCTTGGCCTCCCCCATCCAGCCTGCCTCCAGGCAGATTTCTCACTGGGAAAGCAGCGGGCTGAAGTGAGGGAGAGGGCTTGTCCTCACACAGACATGGCTTTCAAGTGAGCTCTCCACGCCCAGCTGTGAAGTCCGGGCACGTTGTTGGCCCTCCGTGGGGGGAAATGAGAAGAAAAGTCTCATCAAGGTTTGGAGCGGAGTGACTAAGAGGACAGGTGCAAAGCCCCTGGCGTGGGAAACTCAACTTAGAAGGCCAAGATGCAAAATGCTGGAGAACCTAGGTCAACACTGGAGTTGTCACCTGTCACCGACTGCTGCAACAGCGCTTGCCACCTGCTGTGGCAAGCAGCAGGGGTGATGGACAAACAGCGAATTATAGGAAAGGAGGGCAAATATCTCTGAAGACAAGTGGATTTAAGGGCCATCCCCTCTACCCTCTTACCAAGCTGGGCCCCGAGAGACAAGACAGCGAATCTCAGCAGGAGACAGAGGGGGACTTCTGCATCAGTGAATATGAGAGCCGGATGTGGCTCGTAACAGACCTGTGTCCAGGTAAGGAAGCAAAGCTCCAAAGTCACGGTGAGCTGGCTGTNAGGGCAAATATCTCTGAAGACAAAGGATTTAAGGGCCATCCCCTCTACCCTCTTACCAAGCTGGGCCCCCAGAGACAAGACAGCGAATCTCAGCAGGTGACAGAGGGGGACTTCTGCATCAGTGAATATGAGAGCCGGATGTGGCTCGTAACAGACCTGTGTCCAGGTAAGGAAGCAAAGCTCCAAAGTCACGGTGAGCTGGCTGTTGCACAAGTATAGGATTTCCAACCCCAATTTAGGCCAAGATGAGCCAGGACCCAGACACAAAAGGAAGAAGGATTGAAGACCAACATCAAACCTAAACAATTTGGAAATCATTTCTCCCCATTTCCTGTCAGTGGTCTTCCGCCTGGGGTCCATGACCCCCTGAAGGTGAAGGCGTGTACATATGCATATTCCTCATGCCCCCAAAACTGTTAAGACCCACTGACTAGTTGGAAGAACCGCTTGGCTGCCCCCTTGAAGTTCAGAAAGCAACTCCTAAATGGTTCTTCACAGACCACTGCCTAATCCAGACACAAGCTCACCGCTCGACCTTAAATAAGACCCTTACCACTTTTGCACCTCACTTCACTCATCTTAAAAAAATGCAGTCAATACATAATTTTGTGCCTCCTGTTTGGAGCATGTGCTGGGCTAACACAGAGAGATAGAATCAGGTGGCCTCTCGTGTCCCGTCTGGGTCCACTGGCCTGTGATCCGCAGCCGCTCCCACAACCCCTGACTCAGACTATGTGGGTGACACTGGAGGAAGGGGAGTGAGAGGAGTGTGGGGCTCTTCCCAGGAACCCGCAAGCTCAGGAAGCTCTCCAGAGGCCCCTGCTTCCCAGGAAACGGGGGGGAGAGCCACGTCCTGCACCATTTAGCTTTATCAGAGCTGCTGCCCTTTCATCGGCAGACAGGGCCAGCCGGATGAATCAGAGGAGTCTGGGAACTTGCATGATCTGAACAAAGGAGATAGTTACTTGATGGGACTGGGAAAAAAGGCCACGTCCTGTACGCACCTGACTCTCTTCTGCTGACCCTGTGTAATTATGCCCTGGCTCCCAATAATGACAGCTGCAGAAATCTAACCATCTTAACTCTCAGGTGACAGTAAATCAGATTAGCCCCAGTCTGGCTGGAGGGCTGCGGATGGTTAGAGAAACTACTTAGTCACCTTATCATAAGAAGTAGGGTGGGACCATCTCCCCAGAGCTGTCCGAGCCACAGCCCCAGATACTGGGCCACTAAGGTTGATTTTTGAGGTCTCAGACCCTAATATTCCAACTCTGCACCTAAGAAAACGTAGGTCACCTCAGATCATTCAGCCGCCCAGCTGGGCCACTGCCACACACAGAAGAAAGAAGACTCGGTCTTCCTGTGGGTGGATTATAACCTAGTCAAGAAGGGCCTCCCTACACATGCAACCACACACTTAACAGTCACACAGACACCCCAGCAGATTACGACGTGCAGGTACAGTGTCCCAGGATGTCAAAGCTAGAATGGACCCCACTGATTCCTAGTGTAACTTCCCTTTTTGAAGGATGATAAAAGTAAGGCCAGAGGGGGTCAGGTGCCAGAGGGGGTCAGGGACTGGCCTGAGGTCACGCATCTTGTTAGGGACAGACCCAGGTCTCCTGGGCCTCAGTACGGGATGTTGTCTCCTGCAGAGATGTCTAATCAAAGACTGAGTCCCAGGGGGACAGAGTAAAGGAGATGGAGAACTGGGGGGATTGGGAAGGCTTCATGAAGAAGGTGGAAGGGTAACTATTGCATTTTTCTGTACACCTGAAACTAACAATAAAAAATAAATAAATAAATAAAATAAAAAATAAATTCATAAAAAAAAAGAAGGTGGTGCGCTATAGAATAGATTATACTAACGTTGTGTTAAGTAGCCTGGTGGCCCCAAGTATTGGTACATATGTTCCCTAACTTATTCCTCACGAGAAATCTGTGAAACAGTGTTATCCCTTCTCAACAAGAGGAAATCGAGGCACAGAGGGGCTAAGTAGCTTATCCAATATGACACATTCTCCATGTAATAGAGTCAACCCGCAGTCAGCGGGCACCTGAAGCCAGCTCTTCCCACGCACTACCAAAAGTTCATCTCTGAGGAGCTGACATGACCAGTAGGTACATACTGAAATGAGGGAGCTCTAACCTGGGATTTTAACTTCTTCATTTGAGACTTCCCTCCTCCGGAGCCTCCGGAGCTGCCGACATTGGGAAGGTGTATGGGTTTACTACTGCTGCTGGAACAAGCTACGTGAGTGGCTTAAAACAATAGCAGTTTGGTACCTTAGCGTTCTGGAGGTCAGAAGGCTGACACAGGTCTCTCTGGGCTAAAAACAAAATGCCAACAGAGCTCTATTTATTTCTGGAGAGAATCTGTTTCCTTGCCTTTTCCAGCTTCTAGAGATTGTCCACCTTCCTGGCTCGGGGTCTCCTTCCATCTTCAAAACCAGCCATGGCCAGCCAAAGCTTTCTCACATTGCATCACTCTGACCTTGACCGTGACTCTGCTGACCCCTCGTCCACATGGAAGGCCCCTCGCGATGACAATGGGCCCACTTCAGTGTCCTCAGCTCAGTGTCAGGCAGAGTCCTTGGGGAGCCGGTGAACTCTGGGCTCTTCAGCCCCCCTCCACGAGAACACGACACGCTTCTCCACTGTCCTACACATCCCTGTGTGGTCTCCTCCTTAGGCTCAACCAAAGCCACGGAAATGCATGTGGCATGAGCAAGGCCATCTCATGCATCCTGCTGCACAAAAATTGGAAATCTGCACCAAGCAGGTGTCCTCCCCCAATCTCTCCCCCACCCCTTCCTGAGTCAGCCTTGGGCTCTCCCCTCATCTCAACAGGCTCCTAACAAGGACTCCTTTCTCCAGGCTGCCTGGAATGGCCTTGCCCACCCTCCTTGCCTGAGTGATTCCTGGTGTCCAGTAAAACATAGCACAGGCACCTCCTCCCCCAGGAGCTTTTAAGGACCTTCCACCCAAGACAAAGAAAGGGGCCTTCTTCTGGGGGCTGGTGGTTCACCTCTGCCTGTCTTCTCAATGGGACTGTGAACCCCTTGAAAGTAGGGTCATGAATGACTGAAAGAATGAATGAGTAAACCCAGCGATGGAGAACTCCTTGCCTCCTCAGGCTCTGAAGAATTGCTTTGTCTCACAGACAACATTCCACAAGAAAGATGGAGGCAATGAAGAGGAAGAGGTGACATGAAAGAGGAGATGAGAAAAGAGGAGGAGAAGGAAAAGGAGAAGAATCCCCCATCCTATACCTGATCACCCAGTTCCCAGATTCCCCAAGTGACCTTGTTTTTTCAGTTACACCCATGGGTCTCCCAAATTTTTCACTTTCATCCAACACAGCCCCACCGCTACCCCAGCCTCCAGAAAATCATGTCCCTCACAGGACCATCAGCAAGACTCCCCTGGGCCAGCCTCTGATCCCCTCCCCACCCAGACACCTGTCTTACAAGGACACCAAGGACCCAGGCTGGTGCTGCATCGATGCCCCGTGCACCAGTCCTACAGGCCAAAAGGTCACCTGGTCTCCCCAACTCACCTTTTAAAAACTGTTTAGAGATCAAACATCTAAAAACTGTATAAATCTTTGAAGGAACTCCTGATTTTAGCCAAATACCTCTCTTAGGAAATGACCTGAACAAACCTCTTCAAGTGAAGGCGCCGTCGTCACCTTTAAAGTCCCTGGAAATTGGTCGACTTGAGCAAACAAGCTCAAGACCACCCCTTTATGATTTAGGGGCTTCTTTCAGAATGACTCTTTTCCCATTTTCCATTATACAGGTGTGACAATGAAGTTCGAGAACTTGCTGCAACGATGTTGCTAACTGTTTTTTATCTCAGAGGGATTATTCACTATGAATTTGTACCAGCTGGACAAACAGTTAACCAAGTTTACTGCTTGGAAGTGCTGAAAAGGTTGCGTGAAAAAGTTAGACGACCTCAACTTTTCACCAACAATTCATGGCTCTTGCATCACGACAATGCACCAGCTCACACGGCACTGTCTGTGAGGGAGTTTTTAGCCAGGAAGCAAATAACTGGATTGGAACACCCTCCTACTCACCTGATCTGGCCCCCAATGACTTCTTTCTTTACCCAAAGATAAAGGAAATAGTGAAAGGAAGACATTTGGATGACATCCAGGACATCAAAGGTAATATGACGACAGCTCTGATGGCCATTCCAGAAAAAGAGTTCCAAAATTGCTTTGAAGGGTGGACTAGGCGCTGGCGTCAGTGCATAGTTTTTCAAGGGGAGTACTTCAAAGGTGACGATAGTGATATTCAGCAGTGAGGTATGTAGCACTTTTTCTAGGATGAGCTTGCGAACGTAACTGTCCGACCTTGAGTGAGATCCCCCTTTACTCCCAGTTGCCTCTCACATTCACCTTCTTCATTCTTTATTTTATTTTTTTTTAGCTGAGCCATCCTGCCACCTGTTGGCAGCTCAGCAGCAGCTCAGCTCGGGCCAGGAATCGAACCGCTGTTGCTCAGAGCTCAAACTCTTGAGTGAGCTCTTAACCAACTGAGCCACTCGGCCAGCCCCACCTTCTTCATTCTTTAATGAATCGATAATCATTTACCTCCCACTTTCTCTATCTATGGCACAGCCCTACCCTCTTGGAACCTACAACCCAGGAGAGTGGTAAGATCTTGTACATAAATAACTGGAATTTTGAATAACAATAGTAAATGTCATATACATAGCACAAACAACAGATACTATGGGAGGGAGTTCAGCAAGAGGTGAAGTCACTCCTGGTTTAGAGTAATAAGGAGAGGCTCTTAAAAGGTTGTAGACTTGAGTAGAAGCTTGATGAATGCTTAGGATCCCAACAGGCACAGAGAGGGCGGGCACGCAAGACAGAACTGACAGCCCAAACGGAGACTTGGATGGAGAAAAAAGTGGGTGTGTTTGCTTTGAAACTTTTCCTTTCATCCCCCTGGCTTTGACCGACCTGAGCTCTAAGAAAAGGCTCTCCAGAAAGCAAGACGACAACCTTGCTGCACCCTGTTTTCTTGACTATGGAAACTCTGTCACTCCACTTCTAGAAGGGCCAGCAATCAAGGCTGAGATGATGACGGCGACCTGCCTTCTCCCTCCTCTCTCTTCTCCTCTATCCTACTTCACAGCCCAAGAGTAACAAATGACTCCAATTTCCCTGAAGACTTCTGTGCAGGAAAATCACTCTTTCCAGGAAGCTGGAGGTCCTTTGTGTGCTTAGAACCACAGGGACTTTCTTGGGGCTGGAAGTGTCACTCTCCAGGCTCAATGAAGAAGCATCCAGTGGACATGTCTGAAAGCGCCATCCGCGCCTTTGACCCAGACCGACCCCAGGCCTTAGGTCTAAAGCCTTCCCATGGGTGGAGACAGCAGGAGCAAGGGGGATCTTATCTCTCACCACATCCTGAGCCACGCTGGGCAGACAAGGAGCCCAGTCCTGGTAGGACAGGCTGAGATAACGTTTTATGAACATTCTTTTGCTGCTGCTTCTAATGAGAGGTCTGAAAGGAGGCCCTCCCTGTGAGGTCTGCTGAGGAGCCAGAGGCCAAAGTGGAAGCTGATTAGCTGGCATCCCAAGCAGTGATTCAAACTATGGGCAGTTTCAGAGGAAGCTCATTATGGTGACTCCACAATTAGGGCCTCAGCCCACGTGGCCCGTCATACCTGTGGGAGGCTGGACCCAGCACCGTATAAAAGTCCGGACCTGGCTGGGCTCCGCAATTCCCATTCTTTGCTGAGTCTTTGAACATCAGGTAAGTGGGGACATCTGGGCCCTCTCTCCCTAGCTGCTCTGTCTTCTTGAGGCTACTGTTCCCTTCCTCCGCTAGACTGTGCTTTCTGCTGGTGTTTGAAGTCGTTTGCCATTTCTTGGGCCTCTCAAACCAGCCTGGGCATGCCGTCCAGTGTCTTGCACCGGATTTTCAATAAGATTAGTCAAACAGAAAGAAAAGAACCATGGTAAGACTGGGGCTTGGGGCTCCAGACATGCAGACAAAAGCTATGAGGATATTCCCACCTAGTAAACGGGTATCAGAGGGAGCTGAACTAGGGATCGAAAAGGGAAAGGGGTAAAAAGCAGCAGAGAACTGAGTTCTTGGGGTGTTAACTCCCCATCCCCCCCTCAACCCTTCATCTCTCAGGCCCCAGCCTGGTACTGTTCATGCAGATCATTGCAAATCATGTGTTTGTTTCAGGTTCTGCAACTCGCCCTAGGATGTCGTTCAGCGAGCAGCAGACCAAGCAGCCTTGCGTGCCTCCTCCGTGTCTTCAAAAGACCCAAGAGCAGTGCCAGGCAAAGGCTGAAGAGGTGTGCCTGCCCCCATGCCAGGACCCCTGTCAAGAGACGTGCCCAGTGCAAGCTCAGGAGGTGTGTCTTCCTCAGTGCCAGGAGTTAAACCTGGACAGCTGCCCGCAGCAAGTCCAAGACCAATGCCCGCCTCAGTGTGTGGAGCCATGCCAGGAGCTATCTCAGACAAAGTGTGTGGAGGTTTGCCCACAGAAAGTCCAGGAGAAGTGCTCCCCCGCTGGCAAGGGAAAGTAGCGGCTCGTCATGCCATCTAGGGTCGAGAAGATGGCCGCAGATGACAGTGCAACCCCAGCCCATGCTATGGTGACCTTCTCCCGTGGGTACCTACCTCTGTGTGCACGGGTTCTTGCCTCCGGGCTTCCTCGGTATTCCAGGACTTGGTCTGTGTCTCTAAAGACAGTTCTCTCTGTATTTCATCAACCTCTGTGGATAAGTATTGTTCTCGGCGGTCTGGCAGGAGGTCTCAACTGTGGGAACAGGGTGCTCATCAGGGGAGACCCCGGAAGCCTGGTTCAGCTCCCCTGGGGCAAAAATTCACCCATCCCTGGGTGGGTAACAGCCAAGGATGCCTCCGTTCATCTCAGAGTGCCAGCCTCCCACTGAGGCCTCAAAACAAACTGAATTTTGATGGACTTTGTACTGATCACCACCGCCGTGGGTGTGGAAAAGAGGCGGGTGGCGTGCAAAAATAAAAAATTGGGTAAATTTTATCTCTGCGTTCTAAAAAAGAACAGTCAATAATTGGACATTGGGATGTTGGTTGTGCTGTAAAAAATGAAACAAACAAACAGAAAACAAGGCAAGACAAGATGGGATGCTTGGGGTCCTGGTTACTCTTGGTTCTCCACAGCTGGTCTCATTTCCGCCATGTACATTCTTTAGAGACACGATGTGTGCCTGGGCAGTGCGGGCCAGTCTGCTCTCCAGCTTTGCTTCTTCTCCCTGGTGAAGGTAAAATGCAGAATAAAGCTGATTCTAAGAATGATACCTGACTTAACGTGTGCTCTTTCTCCCAGCCCCACTCCCCTCGCCCCCCAACCACCTACAGTCCTTGTGATAATTACGTTCTCCGTTGTGTGTGTGTGTGTGTGTGTATGGTTTGGTTTTTTGGTTGTTTTGCTTTGTTTTTTGGAGAATTTGGAGTAGAAATTAAAAACAGACCTCACAGCAATGCTGAAGGAGGCCTCCTTGAAGGGGACCGGGGCCACCCCACCGTCACCCACAACGTATCCTAGGCTCACCTATGCACACACTTTACACCCGAGAAAACCCACCAGGGCCTGCGATCTGCCCACACTCAAAACCCCAGGCCCAGGCTTCTTTCTATTACAGCGTCTTTCCTCTCTGGTCCCTGCTTTCTGGGGGAAAGAGCTAAAATGGGGAGGAGGGCAGTGGCGTGGAAGAAGGGGTCCCCAGTCAACCCGTGACACCTACAAGCATGGCTTCCTTATCAGAAGGCAGAACCAAGCGTGCCCCTGAGATGAACACAGACTCGAGGACCAGAACTGTCTGTTCGGCCATCTGGCCAGATTTCGGGAAAGCCAGGCTCGGGTTCACCTCCCTACACCCTGCACCCCCTCCGGCTGTGGAGGAAATACAAGCCTGTGGCCTCTGGGCTTGCACAGAAAGAACAGCAAGATGCACAGAGCAGAACCAACAGCGGCTTCCTCAGCTGTGCCCTGAGGGCTGACTGGGCCCAAAGGCTATGTCAAGGGCCAGCCTCCTGAGCAGGAAAGGGGGTTCCCATTCACGCCCTGGGTCCCCCTTTCTCCTCAGCCCATAGAGGATTGCCCCAGTGAGGGCTGTTTGGCTGACTCAGGGCCCTCCCGTGCTGGGATCGCCCCAGTCTCTCAATCTGAGATGTGCTAAGGCCAGAAAGCCAGGGGACGTGTTGGGAGAAGCGCTCAGGCCCCACCATGGAGCCCTCAGGCACTCAGTGAGTCTGCAGCTGGCAAGCGCCAGGTCCTAGGCTCCTAGCACTTTGTGACAGGATCCTGACAGCAGTCTCAGAGGCTCACACGTTGCCCCTTCATTAAGGAACTGGTCTGGCCTCACAAAGCAGTAAGTGGTGCAGTCAAGTCTCTAGCCAGAGGCCCTCTGGACTCCGGCACAGAGCTCTCACTTGCACGAAACACCTGGGCACACAGAAAACACTTTCTGGAGCTGTCTTCTTCTCATGCATTCATTCACCACGGAGCAAGCGCCAGGCACTGCGCCAGGTACTAGAGACATGCCGGTGAACCAGCTGGCAGGTTTCTGCAGAGCTGGAGAGCTTCTCTGCACAGGTTTCCAAAATCTCCTGAACACCTCACGTCCCTGAACATCTCCAGCTGCCTGAATCACAATTCTCTCGCCTCCCCGTCTGGTTGGAACAAGTTTCCTCTTCCATTTTCCAGCTGTGGCAAAAGTCAGCTGCTCCCCAGGGCCCCAGCCTGAGGCCCCCGAGAGCCTTCCTAGCAGTATGGCTTCTGATGGGGCCAAGGGAGGCTCAGGGACGTGTCTCCGGCCTGGCTCAGGCCCAAGAAATGTCTTTGTTCTCCGGCACTAAAGGTATGCACAGATTGGCATCCAACATCAGATGCTGAGAAGAAGCGTGGGGCTGACGAGCAGGGAGGGTCCAGCCATATCAGAGAAAGGACAACCCGCTGATTACAGGGGAGGCCTCAGGAGGCGGCAAGGAGACAAACGCGCAGATTGCAGATAGAGGAACAGACATCAAGGAGCCAGCATGCCTCATCAAGCTCCGTCATGGGAACCACCACACCTTCCTCGTGCTCACACAGCCCTGACGCGGCCCCTGCCTAGGCTGCGACTGCTGGGCCCGGGGCCCTGAAGGCCACAGACCGGGGCCATGGGGACAGCTACGACCAAGCACATGGCAGACAGACTCCCTCAGCTGTTGGTACCTGTGCTGAAGCCTTTCAGAAAGGGGAGAGGGGCATTACTAAAAAGAGTCCCAGAGTTAGACCTTCTACCTGAAAACTGTGAAAGAAAAAACAAACGCGGAAGCCACCGTTGGGCCGTTGGAATAGGCCCCTAGACCAAACAGCCATAGCAACATAACCGAAACTTAAAACTATCCTAATAGCCCCAAAGTGTTGGCTCTGACCATAAGCCAACTTGAGCTTTCCTCGGTTCATAGCTTCCTAGCCAATTAGCTGCCAAAGAGGAAAGGCATGCAGGCTTCTACAGCCAATCCTAACACTCCTCACTGATCTTTATAAACCCAGCTGTAACCCTCACTTTCTGAGCTTCTGCCCCTTTGGGCTGGAAGTCCTCCAGTTTCGCGAACTGTTTTTTGGTTTGTTTTTTGTCTGCACAATCAACTTTTGAATTTTCTCTAACTTGATTTGATTTTGGTTTTTGACACAGGCAACTCAATATGTGATAACAGTGGACCTCTGGGCTCCATGTGCCAAGAGAAAAAGATACAAACTGATAGGCGTTCAAAGGAGGGTGCTGTGGATTCACCCCTCCATTCAGTAGACTAGAACCTGCTACGCCCAGGGCACTGTGCCAGGCGCTGGAGACCCAGGTGGGAGGGCACATGGACTAGAGCTGTGGCCTGAGGACTTTCATGTTAGAAAACTGTTGAAATCTATGTAATCTAGTGAAGCAAATGCCGAAGGGGGCAGGATAGCTGTCCTCAAGTATTTCAAGTGCTTTTGTGAGGGAGGGATTGGATTTCTGTGAGGTTCCAACAGACAGAGTTGGGACCAATGGACGGAAGTTACAAATTGGGGTTCCGTTGAAGAGCTTTCTCATAAGAAGATCTGTTTGCTGGTGCCAGGCGCTGCCTTTGGACGTGTCATAGCCGCATGACCTGGAGGTATCCAACAAGGGGGGGGAGAACTAGAGTGAACTGCACGCTCCCTACTAGCCCGCCTGGCACTGAGACTCGGCTCACTGATCTAGGTCTCCTGGGCAGAACTGGGGCCCACGGGCAGAGGCGGTACAGGGGCACGAAGATTCAGAAGACCTGACCCTGAGGGCAGGAGACAGAGGGGATGACTCTGGCCTCTAGAACATTCCTGGAGGACAGATAAGTGATAGAAGTGGATCTTCAAGTTTAAGAGCTTCCTTAATATGTTTTTTGGGGCCCAACACTTCAGCTCTGAGTGGCACCTTACAGTAACCCCTCATGCCTCCCAAACCCAACCTTCCCTCCGTTCCTTGCATCTTTACCTTCTGGGCTTCCTTTCTATCCTGGGCCTGAGAGGTCTATCTCGCCCATGTGTGAGGTACCTGACAACCCATCGCAGCCTCCTTTCCACCTGCGCCTGCCTCCCTCCAACCAGGATTCTCCTCCTGCTTGTGTCTGCCAACCCATGTTGGCAAACTCACCTCCTCCAGGAAGCCTTTCATGACGTCAAGCCCATTTTCTAGGTTTACAGGGAGACGCTTGCAGCAGTTCGGTTTGGGGTTCTTGTGCCTACACTGGTCCCTAGGGGTCAGTGGCCCCTTGAAGCTGCCTTGTGTGTGACTGGCCGGCGTCACTGTCAGCATGAGGTCCCAGATGGTAGCACTTAGGCTGTGTGGTGCTCTTGGCCTGTTTTCACAGGGCCAGCCACACTGAGCCTGCACCACTCTCAGTGTCAGCCCACCAGCATGCTCTCTGCGGCAGAGACAAAAGAGGCTTCTTTCATGGATGGGGGGACCCGCCATGCTGGTTTTCCTGGGACTGAGAGGGTTGCCAGGATGCAGGACTTTGCACGCTACCATTAGGATAGTCCCAGGCAAACCCAGACAAATCGGTCACCCTAATTGGGTACCTGCATGTGGAGACATGACGCTGGGTGTTGTGGGAGCAGCGAGGGAACGCAGATGAGACGCTCATGCTGGAGGAATGTACAGCCCAAGGTGGGAATGGGCAGAACTTACTGGAAAACTGAGCCCAGAAGGCTCAGTGCCCACCCGCTGCCTGCCGCCCCTACACAGACAGCCCCAGTGTGTGTGTGTGTGTGTGTGTGTGTGTGTGTGTGTGTGTGTGTGTGTGTCGGGTGGAGGACACTAGATCCACAGTCCAGTGCCCAGGCTAGCCCTGTATCAGCCAGAACCGGCAGGTCGTGGCCCAGAGAAGTAGTATAGTGGGGGGTACCCCATGTTCCCCCGTGTCATCCCACTGCCATCATTCGCCTCCGGACACCTTGGCCAGTGGGCCGGTCTGGACTTGCCCACTCCTGCTCTCCCACAGATACCTGCCTCCCACCTGGAGATGCTGGAAAAAGAGGCTGGCGGGCTGCCAGAGCCATGGGACCGCCAGCTCCCCACCCAGCTCCCCCACTCCCCAGCATGTCTTCAAACCAACCTGCCCTCCTTCAAAAACCTTGGGAACTCCTTTTTCTCTTCCCAACAGCACCATCTACTGGCCAGAGAGGCACTGGGCCTTGACTGGGCCACATCCAGCCTCGCCTGAGTCAGAGACAGCTGCACACACTGGGGACCAGCCAACGCTGGATGCAGCATCTAAGACAGCGGGAGGGAGGCTCAGTGTGCAAAACAGAGTTAAATAACGTGGGGGCTTGCGGGGGGCCGCCATGATGGTGGTTCAGGACACGAATTCAGGAACAGACGCCGGGACTCCAATCTAGACTCCACCACGGCTACTCTTCCCTTTAAAAAAACATGCTGAGAGCCTTGTCTGGGCCGAGCCCTGTTCCAGGCACTGGAAATACAGCAGTGAACTAAAATAGATACACAGAGTGCCTGCCCCCAGAGCTTACACGAATGCGGCAGACAAATGAAACTAAGCAAATGGATAAATGAGAACATGTAGAAAGGAAAACAGGGTGATGACAGAGTGTCTGCAAGGAGGGGTGCTCCATGAGCTCGGGGTACAGAAAGGCGGATTTCTTCTCATCTCAGGCATAAAATGCCCAGCAATAAAATGGCCTGCTCCTGCAGTAGTGAACTCACCATCACTAAAGTATGCAAGAAGAGGC